TATTGCTTATATCTTAGACGATCTGTCCACACGCTAACAGCTATCCTACGAACATTTCTGAGTTCTTGCTGGACGTCGATACCACTCAAATGATGATTTCATAGAGAGGTTGACATGAAAAAACGGTCATCCCTCTGCGATATGCACCGGCGCTGTTCAGAACTTGGTCTCGGGATAAAGCCACCATTCGTCTTAAAACTTTCGAAACCCAGGACTGGCTTATGTGGAGCTGACGTGCGACAGCCCGCTGGCTGAGCCCTTCTTGCAATAGTGCAACGATTTGTGCTGTTTTTGTAGGTGTAGAATCCCAGGTAAAGTGTCAAAAAAAGCGGAGATGTGTATGGATAAACGTGTGAAAGCAAAAATCCGAAAACACGTGTTTTTATAGGGGGTAAGTAGGCCGCAACTCGCGACGTATCAAACAGTGATAAATGTCTTTTTCCTTACTTCTTCACATCAGCCGGGATATCTTTTTAAATACTGGTGTGATTTAAATGAATTTGGTATCAATTTAAAGGTAAAAGTTTAATCTTTAAAGTAGTGCCACTTTTTTTGTTCCTAACAAATTCTTTAGTACACAAGATCGCGTGGAAACAACTTCATGTAAGTGATTCCATAGTTTTGCTCGCGAGTGTATTACTTGTACACTTTCTGTTTTTTTAATATTTTGCATAGACAGCCCTCTTACAACCGAGTGTAGTCTGTTAATTTAATAAAAACGGAGTAAGCTCAAGTGCATCAATCTTCCATTTTAACTGCACAGACAACCATGTCTTGCCAAAGTGACCTTTGTATTAGCATCACATAGTGTGCAACTCTTCACAGATGTCAAGTCAAACTGTGTAATCAAGTCAGTACCTACCTACTAAAACATAGTAAGTGGCTTTCATGTTTACTAACTGCTTGCACTTCTTTTTAATTACAATATAGTATTAATCAATTGTGCCATTTTCCTTTTCCAATAAATGAATCGCAATTAGTGTATTTGTGTCGTAATAAAATAAAAATCAAATGGACATAGGTATAATGCAAAATGTGTAAACCAAATAATTGTAAAATTACAAGGTAGTTCTCAATTGTTACAATGTAGGACAACAGAATAATACAAATAGACATTTATTAAAACCCATACAGAGAATCAAAAGATCGTGCAGTTGTTTATTATGTAACAGTCATGGACAAAGTTGATACTTAAGTAAGGCTTTACATTTGACTAAATCGATTTCCTGATGTATGTAAAACACATTGAGAACTTATTTATATCAAATATTATAAATATCAAAGTTATTTAGCTCACAATTGCCTCAGTAGCAGTAGCCCTCGACATTCGTAAAACTACTGTGTAAAATATTGTGAATATAACTAACTTATGTTTTGCGACATGCTATATTTATCTGACACAGGAAAACATTAACTCAAACGGAATATGGTGAACAAGAGAAATAATACGAAATTCTACTAACCTAAAACCCGTAGGACGATTTTTATGAATTTGATTGATTTTGGCAATTTGACACAAAATTTTGACATTTTGTTTGACATAATTTGACAATTTGGATTTTTAAACGGCTCTGGGTTCACGCACTTTTCACATGCTATGCCAATCGTTCGTTTAAATAATTTGACAGCATGTAACTTTTGTTGCCATTTTAAAAAATCTCATGAGTACCATGTGCCATTATTTTAAGAACAAAATAATTTTAGTAAAACTGCAAATAATTCCATTTTTAGATAAAAGTAACAGCAGGTACCAAGATCTACGTTTATAGAAAACTATATACCCTCATATAGTTTTTATTTGCATCTAATAAAGTTTAATAAAACTACCTTCAGTATTTCAGATACAGCAATGGAGTAGGAAATTGCAGGTGAGCTTGATTTTAATTCCATAAAATTAATAATTGTCTTGTTTACAAGTTGTTAACGTTCAAATTGTGCTCAAATTATAAAGTTAAACCAAATTTAAATTAAATAAAACGGGTAGGCAGGTTGTACATAGTTTTACAGTGTATAATTTTCCAAGGTCATCACTTCTTTTCATTTACTTAATTTAAAACTAGACAATTAATTAAATAAATAAATAAAACTATTTCACATGCATGCAACTCAGAAATTTTTGTTATCATGTTGTTGAAGTGAGTATTGTCCATTTTGCTCTGTGGTATTGTAATGGCGAGAGAGGTGAGGAGGTGAGGAACGGACGAGCGAGTGCCTTCGTCATCGTGTGCAAAAATTACAAATTGCAGTGTGGGGTGCTAAAATTATGTTAATTTTAATGAAGTGAACAATAGTATTGGTGATGTTGGCCTTAGGCTTATCTTTATTTCGTAAAAAAACTGTAAAAGAACACACGTTTACTGTAGTAATCCGTCAAAAATCGAGAAAGCTTCAAACGTGTTTGAAGCTTTCGTTTTCGGATTAATGGAACTATGAACCTGGACTCTTTAACGTTTAGCTTATCGCAAATCAATTATCTCGTAGTAAATTTAAGTAAGAAAAACTTCAAGCAGACTAGTCAAGAGTTATCACAGGTGAGAAAAATGCTAATTTACAACTTGTCTTTGTTTTCTATGTCGCCATATTGTAGACGATGGCAAGCAACATGAGCATTTGGTAATAGTGCTGAGTGGTTGTTCATTGTTTTATTGTGCTGAATGCTGTTCGATATTGCGTAGCATTGTGTCTCTTGTAAAATCGTGTAACCGTTTTGTGAAGTACTGTTAAAATGTGGTCGCACAACGACCATGCGTTGTAAGGAGCCTTCTACGTAGTAGCCACCCTTTGTATACTTTTTTACCATTGCTGTTTTATTATTTGGTAGATTCAGCTTCAAAGTCACGTTTCAGACACAATCAGTTCGTTGCAGTCTATTCTGTCGTCGTATTTATGTAGCATTCGTGTAATCATTATCAGATATTTTATGGTTACTAAGTGGTTTCCCTGAAAACACAGCCTATGTACTTTGTGTGTTGGTGATTAATCTAATGAATCATCTGTATTTGGATTATTGGCAATTTATTATCCAAATCGTTCTAATTGTAAATCCACCAGGGGCAAACCAACTGTTACTACAACAATTTAGATTACCCCCCACAAGTTTATGCAACATTTAATTGAGTAAACATGTGCAATACCTACTATGTGAGATATGGATTTATGTAATGCTTTGAGGCTGATTCTAGATAGTATTCATATTGTGTAACACTACATCTTGATAAAAATAGAGTTGCCAAGGTATAATCACATAAAACAACATTGAAGCATCTACCTGCTTAAAATTTCATGCACATAATCATGTTCCTCTTGATTGAACCATACTTATGTTGATATGATGTTATCACTAAATTGTTATTTTGAAATTTCTCGGTGATACATCGATTTTTACTGGCGTATTTACAAACAATGCTTGCTTAAATGAAGCAGCCTAACGAACGTACAGCATTGAATAGAGCTATGTGATTGGATTGTGGGTCACCGTGTGCGTTCACATGCACTATGTGACGTCATATATTTGTGAATATGAGCATTAGCCTATGATCATTTTCAATATAAAAATATAACCAGTAATAGCTTAAAAATTACTGTAGCCTGCTTAGAGTTTTGCTGTTTCAGTTCAGTATGAGTTAGTTTCAGTATGTATGTCATATTTCTTTTTAGCAATATAATATGTATATGTTTGTATACATGATATTGTATTATTTTGCTCTTGCACAGCTTTTGGAAATAGGTATTCCTTTCTTCTTTAATTTATGACCCTATACAGGATATGGGTTCACACAGCAATCTTTTAGCCTTTACAATGTATTGTTCAAACTTAATCATGAACATAATAATATTTTTGTTTTTATCAAATTGTATAGCTATGAACAATTAAAAGCAGATTATTGATTAATTATCATATCTTGATAACATGCATTTGTAGGTATCAGTAAAATTGTACCTTACAATTTAATTACCTTACAATAGTCATTTACATTAAATAGCATTGACAGAAACTTGTAACATTAAATACAGTTTTGTGCAATTTAATGATATTTTAATGGAAACTATAATTAGAAAGGCACAAAGATATTACTGGATTTTATACTACATTCAATAAGCTCATTTCAAGAGTTATTAGAAATATTACTTTGCCAACATGATAATGTAAGCCATTCTGTGTTATTTATATTATTTTGTGAGGCACAACAAGTTGTATGTTTTCTGTTTTCCATAATTTCATTGACATCCTCAGTTAATGTCCAGAATTATGAATTATACTAGCGACCTGCCCTGGTTTCACCTGTGCTTGTAATATTCTCTTGTGCAACAATAAATAATCATTATTTATTGTTGAAAACTGCATTAAGATCGAAACATACAATCAGCAGGGGCGACTTTGTTTTTAAAGAGGTGTTCTTAATGTGGCCAGATTCTACTGTCTTGTTCCCCATCCAGTCACACTGTAATTTGTAACAATATGACTGGTTGAAAAGAATAACAATTAAGTTACTTAATCCTTAGGGCTATATTTCACCAAAACACCATGGCGGCGCAACCAGTCGTAGAGAGTTACTCACCCTGGTGTCCGCAAAGCTGTATACATTTTGTTGGTAGCGGCGACTGGTTGCGCCGCCATGGTGTCCCGGTGAAATATAGCCCTTAGTATAGGACCTTTATCTATCTTCCCAACCAGATGCACTGTTGCTCATTAGGACTTCTTTCTTTATTATTTTCCAACGCTTCACGGAAATTATTCACATTTTTGACCTATGCATGACTGGATGGAAACAAACATCTACTTTCTGGTGAACTAGTGATGTTCAATGTATCATTGTATGCATGGCTTAGCTTTTGTAGATTTTCAATCACATAATACACAGTTCTTAATAGGGTGTATGCATAGTTGTGTATTTATTTGAAAGCGTGTTTTTATAATTATGGCATACATGGTACTTGTATGTCACAAGTATCCGAATGAGTATAATGCCAGATGAATGTTTAAGTTGATGATTTCCTTATAATTTATAAATAGATAAATATGCATATACCCTATTATTTATTTACATTACATCTTAAGCTTAGTTTTTGGCATTTATTTCATGCTGAGCGAAATCTATTATCACTTTAGACAAACATATTTAATTATTGCTTATGTATATTGTTATAATACACAAATATTTTATTAGCATGTAGTATGCATTGTGTGGAAATTAAACAAATGGTAATGCAACAATCAAGTATATCATGCAATAATTATCAACTTCATAATCTACTGTAATGAACAATGGAACAGATAACTTCACAAAAGTATAAAGCTAGAATCACTGCGTTTAAACGTTTTTAGAGGGTGTACACATATCATTTGCTATCAACCCCATTATCCCCTCAAAATATAAAAATAGCAATTTGTGAACATCATTACCTTAGATGGGGCAGAGGGCGTCCACAACTGTTTTCCATCGCGTTCGGTTCGCCAAGTTTGCTTGGAGCGACCACGTTTGCGTTTTCCTTGGGGGTTCCAATCTAGAGCCTGCTTGGGGATATGATCGGGATCCCTTCGGAGAGTGTCACCGATCCAGTTCCACTTGCGGCTCTTGATCTATCTATCTTGTATAACTCGTCGTTGGAGATTTTCTCGGGCCAGTATATGCCGAGAATTCGGCGAAGGAAGCATTGTCGAAGACAGCAAGTCTTCGTCAGCCGCTGCCTCTGCCGCTGGTGCGAGATAACCTTGGTGACCTTCCACATGTCACACCCATAGAGCAGAACGGATTTAACTTTGGACCCAAATATTATTATCTTGATGTCCTCGGAGATGAGGCCGTCGTGAGTGACCGTACAAGAATATTTCCTGTAGATGGCTTTCAGTAGGTCGACGACAGTCGAGACACCAATGTCAGAGAGTCGCGACCTTTTTGCTGGCCCATTTCAGATGATCTGATCGGTGCACGAGAGGTTCGGGTGGAAGCCAGCCTGTTCTTTACGCAAAAGAGGTTCAACGGCCCCCGATAACCTATCCAAGATAATCTTGCAGGAAACCTTTGACGTTATCGAGAGCAAAGTGATACCTCTCCAATTGCTACACTAACTTAGGTCCCCTTTCGGCACAGTAATTAAAAGCCCCTTATTCTAGTCGTCTGGGAGTTCCTCTTCCATCCAGATGTCGAAAACAGAGACGAAAGATGAGACGTGTCAGGACGTCGACGGCGGAGTTTACATCATTAACATGATTAACATTCTAATTAAGTCATGAACTTTGCTCATTTGTGATGCTTAATTCTTATCATTGGCTACTTTTTTAATGAATTCCGGCAGCTGTTGACCTTTGTATACATGTATCAGCTTCACCTATGATACATTTTAATGTGACCAGGAACAAATTATGTATGGGCTGTCATGAATTTAGATCAACCGTAACTACTAGAGAAGCTAGGGCAAAGCTTAATTAGAAAAACAATCTTCAATTCTATTCACAACTAAGTGTGTAATTGTGTAGAATATTAAAAGAAACCATAAAAGCTGGAAAATCTAGAAACTCTTCCTGCATAAGAAATTGAGTCATTTGCCTTAGACTCATTTCGCGTTGCTGTTAACTTTCTTGATACCATGGATACAAGAAAACCAACACAATTAAGAATTCATCGTGAGGGACACTTGCAACGTGGAACATTCGTCCGATAAAGAGCTGCATGCATGCGCAAATTAATAGATTTAATGACATGTCAACCCGATCCAATTACATTGATTTTTCCATTGATTTTTCGAATACCTAGGTCATACCTGTTATTTATTCAGCGCGTAATACCTTTCGCCTATGTCCGACAAACTGCCAATTTTGTTGATAAGCAATGATTGAATCTACTGATGCAGAGATATCTTCAATTTAAAAGAGGATTAAGAAAAATCTCATATTGCCATCTTTATTTATCGTCAAAATTCTGCCAAATTCCGTAGGGGCCGCATTAAGAAATGACGATAGGATGATTGTAGGGGGGGGGGGTCTAAAATCTGAAAAAATCGATGACGTAATTTATGGACGGCCCCATACAAAGAACACCTGATAACGTTAAAGTTACAGTTAGGTGGTGCAACTCAGCTTTAGTATGCAATTAAGTAGGTAGTTAACTAATGAAACTTACATCATAGAAAAAACAAATTTTACACACAACATATTTACAAATCTACTAGGCTTGTAAGATGTTATTTACACTGGCAACATTCTAGATTAAGATCGCTGTCATTTCGCAAAAGCCGAACGTTTTAATTCCAAGCAAATGCGTAATAATGTGACGTAGCAATTCACTATTTAACAATCTGCATTCGGCAACAGCGAGTTGACACGATTAAATTGCAGCATTGCGAATTGTTTTTTAATGCTAATAGTAATTAGTGTATCAATCAGTAAGTGTACGTGAACTCAGTCGTTCTAACGCTGTTGGTTTTCCACAGCTGGTCAGTCTTTATGGGCTGGAAGCAGAGAATCAGCTCTTGAGGTGTTTGTTGACGGAAGCGGCGAAGGCATCTTGGGACACCGAGCGCACCGGATCTGGCTCCAACACCAGCGTCCACGCATCTCTGCTCACGCAGCACCTGACTGCGCTCCTCAACCATCCGGCCAAGTCCACGGTCGTCTGCCGAGCTGTCGATAACCCCACTCGTTCACTCCAAAAGGTAAGTAACATTATACTCATAAACCAACTTACTTTACGTTGCCCATTACACTATTTGCACCTGTATTTGTCTGTTTGTCCTTCCTGTACACATGTTTTGTTTGTCAAACCATACCATTCTACCATTTTACAAATATTTCGGTTTTGTTGTTCGAATAAGTTTGCTATTGATTCATTATTTTCGACTGAATATTTATTCATAAGACCTAAGATGTTTTGGTGACAATATTTTATTAACTGCAGCTGGCTAGGAGGCCATAAACACATGGACATACAGACATCATACAGATGTAGGTACTTTAGGCTATTGTTTTATTTTTAAATAATCCAAATAAATGGGCGATCCTAGAGTTAGAATACTTGGGCTTACTGTATAGAGGTAGATTGGGTAACTTATTAGTACATGTTTTATGCTTCATTGCATTATTCCTTTCAGATATTAAAACCTTCAAATACATTACTCAATCGACTTTCAAGACTATTAAAGTTTACCACCGCCGAGGATGTTGCCTTTTCTCTGGTTTTGAAAAGGAATTCTGCTAAACCTGAGATAGTAGCATTAACTAAGCAACATTTGAAAAAGAGATTTTTGGACCTCGTACAGTGTTACCTAGACGCAGGTAAGAAATGTGATATTTTCGTTTGTAAGTTATTTATTGTTTGTGTATAACGATAGCGATCGATTGTTTTGCATTGCAGAACGTGGGCATCAGGCTGAGCGTGCAGGCCTTCAGGAATGCAGCCCTGAAGTGTTGCAAACTCTCCTCACTAGTTTATCGCAAGAGAGACTAGCCACAGTGACAAAAGACTTATTTCTCAAACGTTTACGAGTTGATTTCCCTCGTGAAGTAGTGCCTATCGTGTTAGCGCCGTTGCTTTACCCGGACGACACGCAGACGCCGCTCGAAGAGATGACGACCGCCGACGACATGGCCGCGGCCATGATGGAAACCTCCTTGGCGGAGATCATCCGAGACATCGGACACCCCTTCACCGCCTCGGTGGAGGAATGCAAAGCCAACATGCTGAACTTCGGTGCGCGGGAGCCCACCGCTATCGACGTGGCCAGAATCATCTCCATGATGATCAGGTACCACGCGACCGTCCCCGAAGGACCGCTCGTGCAAACGCCGGGCAACTTCTGGATGAGTCACGAAACCAAGAAAGACCCCATCACACACGGACACGGCGAATCGTGGAACGCCGAAGTGTTTGTCCAGACACTCAAAGAACTCGCATCAAACTTGAACTGGAAAGAAGTCATACTACAGCTCGACCATCCCGAGTTCATGGTCCCCGACAGACAAGGCCTCAGCCTGCTGTTCACGATTTTGCGACTCGGCCTTCAAAGTGCGGGTTATCCGGCTAACATATTCCCTGTGGATTATCTTTGCCGTCGATGGACGAACTTAGAAGGACAGATGAGTTTGATCAACATGGTACTCAAACATCCAGACGTATTCAGTTTCGCTGACCATCCCTTCCATCCGGTCTCGATTGATCTTCTAAAGTCCCCACCTGAAACTGACAACAAAGAAATAGCCACCTGGCGGTGCCTTTATTTAGTCGAGCTTCTGGTGTACGCCGCGGAGCGTGGGTATTACTTACAAGTGCACGAATTATTCAAGTTCCCAATGCAGCATTGTCCTGACGTCTTGCTCCTAGCTCTATTACAAATCAGTCCACCTGTTACAGTATTCAGGCAAGAGTTACTGACAACGCTGATACCAATATTCTTAGGAAATCACCCAAACTCCGGTATTATACTACACCACGCCTGGCATACACAGAATCCGAACATAAAGCCTATCATCATGCACGCCATGGCCGACTGGTACATACGTGGTGAGAGCGACCAGTCCAAACTGTCGAGGATACTCGACGTTGCCCAAGATCTCAAAGCACTATCGTTACTGCTGAATGTTCAGTCGTTCCCCTTTGTTATCGACTTGGCGTGCTTAGCCTCCCGTAGAGAGTACCTAAAGCTCGACAAATGGCTAACGGACAAGATCAGAGACCACGGCGAAACATTTGTGACTGCAATGGTGAAGTTCTTGCAGAGGCGATGTCCGCAGGTGCTCGGTAAAGGGCCCGAAGAACAGCTACCGAAGGCTGCGCAGCTGCCACCCGAGACGGTCACCACGATGCTGGCCTGCCTGCAACTCTGCGTGCCCAACGTAACGGCGGAACTACAAGAAGCCATTTACAGCGTCATAGCCAACTGCCAGACGCTCATCCTGAGCAAGACAAGACAAAACATCGCGGGTATAGCGCGGACACGGAACGCAGAGTACCCTCGAGTGATGCCCGGCGGCGGCATGGAAACGCCCTTCAATCCCGCGGCTGGTTTGAGCGGGCAGCTGTTCACTCCGCATGTTGATTCGATTGCCAGTTTAACACCTGGTGTAGCTAATTTGAGCTTGGGAGGACCAGGGAACACCGCTTTCGCGATGCCCGGAACTCTAGGGCCATTGGTGACGACCCCTGGCTCGCCTTCCCGATTGATGGGAGCCGGCCCCAACAGCCCCTTCGCTATGATGCCCTTACAACACAACACGAACGTTGCGAACATGGGGGCACTCGCTCGCATGGCGCCCGCGCCTGCGATGGACAAACCCAGGATTCCAGACCCTATACACTTCCCTGAAATGATGCACAACGTCTCGAAGGAGATCGAGGACGAAGCCAATGGATATTTCCAGCGGATCTACAACCATCCCCCGCATCCGACTCTGTCGATAGACGAAGTGCTCGACATGTTGAAGAAGTTCCAAGACTCGCCGAACAAGCGCGAGCGAGAAGTCTACTCGTGCATGCTACGCAATCTGTTCGAAGAATACAAATTCTTTCCGCAGTATCCGGACAAGGAATTGCATATAACCGCTCAGCTATTTGGCGGTATCATTGAGAAGGGTCTCGTTCCCAGCTACGTCTCGCTAGGTTTGGCTTTACGATTCGTACTTGACGCGTTGAGAAAGCCAGAGGGCTCTAAAATGTACTACTTCGGTATAGCGGCACTGGACCGCTTCAAGTCGCGGTTGAAAGACTACCACAAGTACTGCGAACATGTCCGTGCTATACCTCATTTTAGTGAATTCCCTCCACACCTAATTGAGTACATCGAATATGGACTACAGAGTCAAGAGCCACCCACGAAACCACAAGGACCCGTTCTACCCACAAGTTTGGCTGCTGTGCTGAACCAAACCAACGTAGTAACCGTCTCGGCGCCCTACAGGTAAATATGTGTGACTCTTTTGTATTAAGTCAGGTCATGTTATACTAGCTGGTCACGTTCAATACTTGTTAAACTGTTATGTCACAAATGCTAATACCTGTATTTGTTTTAGGGCCGTGGTCTGCGCACCGTCGTCGATCTCGGTAATCGCAAAGGTTACCAACTGCACTGCAGGCGGACTGGGCAGCCGACCTTCGATTGCTAACGCCACCAACATAGACACTCTTCTAACGGCCACAGACCGAGAAGAAAAGATCAATGCTCCACCTGAAGCTATCCAGGACAAATCAGCATTCATTTTCAATAACCTCAGCCAGTTGAATCTACAGACGAAATGTGAAGAACTCAAGGAAATAATTACCGAAGAATACTTCCCATGGCTCTCGCAGTATCTTGTCATGAAGAGAGCGTCCATCGAACTCAACTTCCACGCACTGTATTCCAATTTCCTTGACGTTCTTAAAATCCGCGACATAAACAGAATGGTCACTAAAGAGACTTACCGGAACATAAAAGTATTATTACGCTCCGATAAGGGCATTGCCAACTTTTCTGATCGATCGCTGTTGAAGAACCTGGGCCACTGGCTTGGCATGCTGACGCTGGCCCGCAACCAGCCCATCCTGCACGTCGACATCGACCTGAAGGCGCTGCTACTGGAGGCCTACCACAAGGGCCAGCAGGAACTGCTGTACGTCGTGCCCTTCGTCGCCAAGGTGCTCGAGTCCTGCGCCAAGAGCGTAGTCTTCAAGCCACCCAACCCCTGGACTATGGCACTGATGAACGTATTGGCTGAATTACACCAAGAGCCAGATTTAAAGCTGAACCTGAAGTTTGAAATTGAAGTGTTGTGTAAAAACCTAAGTTTAGACATTGCCGACCTCAAGCCGACCCTTTATTTGAAAGATCCGGAGAAACTGAGAACGATCGAGTTCCAGCTGTCGCAACCGAAGCCAAACAAGGATGCGTCGAGCTCGATGCAAGTGAGCCAGCCTATAGTGCCGGCGCCGCAGATGTTAATCCCGCACCCGGGCCCGCCGCCGCTGCTCCCAACCGAAGACATGGCCGCCGCGGCGCCCACGCCGACCGGGCTCGTCGGCACCGACCCGACCCTGATGGGAGTTTTGGGGTTGCCCGAACCCAGATTCAACTACCTCGACGTAAACGTTTCATCGACATCAGCTTTTGGGCAGAAGATTTGTTTCAACCCGCACATCATTCTGTTCCAAAACTACCCGCATCTGAAGCAGTTCGTGAAGCCTGCTATTGAGCGATCCATCCAGGAGTGGATTCATCCGGTCGTGGATAGGTCTATCAAGTATGCTCTTACGACTTGCGAGCAGATCATTCGTAAGGACTTCGCGCTTGACCCCGACGAGGTCCGGATGCGCACGTGTGCACACCACATGATGAGGAATCTGACAGCCGGTATGGCAATGATTACGTGCCGGGAGCAGATTATTAGCACCATCAGCACCAACCTCAAGGCCGCGTTCTTGACGGCCTTGATGCCTGCCACCCCACAGCAGGTAAGCACATCTCTTTTTCTGTGACTTTTATTATTTTATTATAACAAGCTTTTATTTACTTTCACATGTCTGGTGTAGGCAAATCTTGCAACTTAAAATTGACCCATTTCCCGGTTTCCAATTGAGCTGAAATTTTGCATGGATACGTAAGTCGGATGACAATGCAATATTATGATGACATGGAGCTGATCTGATGATGGAGCTGGATGGTAGCCATAGGAGCTCTGCAATAAAATGACACGTGCCTTTTGAGTTTGAACTCGTTTTATTCTTTTTAGCGCATTAAAAGCTTGTTTGGAAAAATATATTTTTTCCATTATTAAAATTTATTTGAATGAAATCTATCGTAGTCTCTACTATTATATGTCATTAATCGAAATTACTATCAACAGGAGATCGTTGAAAGCGCCGCTGCAGTTCTAGCGACTGAGAACATGGAGCTCGCGTGCGCTTTCATCCAGAAGACTGCAGTTGAAAAGGCGCTGCCGGAGCTCGACAAACGACTGCTGAACGACTATGAGATGAGGAAGATTGCCCGCCAGGAGGGACGGCGGTACTACGACCCGATCGTCTTGGCGTACCAGACCGAAAGGATCCCGGAGAGAGTGCGACTCCGCGTTAGCGGGCCCAGTGACCTGCAGATAGCGGTCTACGAGGAATTCGCGTGCAATATCCCGGGGTTCATGCCTGTGAGGGACGCTGGCATGTTCATCCCGAAGCCCTCGGCCCAGGACCAGCTGCCCCAACTGGCCTTCAGCCAGACAATGAACCCGACGCAAGTTTACGGCGCCGATGAGATGAGCGCGCTGATTTCGGCCGCGGAGGTGTTCCTGGCCAACTCTATGGCGATGGCGTCGATGGCCGCGCAGACGGCGAATATGCACTCGCTTCTGGAATGCCTGTTCATGGCGAGGCGGAACCGCGATATTGTGTCTGGATGTGCTCTACTGCAAAAGGTAAGGCTCGTTTAGTTGTTGCTACATTGACTTCGTCTTCGTTTCAGCCAAATGACGTCCACTGCTGGACAAAGGCTTCCCCCAAGGTTTTCCACAATGAACGGTCCTGCGCTGCCCGCATCCAGGCTCTTCCCGCGACCTTTACCAGATCGTCGGTCCACCTAGTAGGAGGCCTGCCCACGCTACGTCTTCCAGCCCGTGGTCGCCACTCGAGAACTTTCCTGCCCCAACGGCCATCGTCTCTACGAGCTATGTGCCCCGCCCACTGCCACTTGATTTTAGCAATTCTGCGAGCTATGTCGCAACATTGACTAATATTACGTAATTTTATCACCAGTTATGATGGGTTTTCGTTGCATCTGGACTCTAAACATTATTTGCTTACCCCACTATTCATTGTGTCGATCAAACTATTGTCAATTCTTGACAAATACAGTGGAGATAAACCCTCTGCACTCCTGATTCAACTAATCCATATACCAGTACCAAGACTACTAACCCCCATGCTACTTGAGCTATCCGTGGTTTCGGGGCCTGATAAACCTGTAACAAGGTATTAAGTAGCTCGGCACCGATCTCACACATTATGTATAAATAAATATTATAAACCACCAAACCCTTCACAGGCCGTGGAAGGTCTACTAGACAGCCACATCGTGTCGGTCGCGCAAGGCGGCAGCGCGGAACACGTGGAGATGATGACGCGTTATCGCGACATCCACTTACGAGTGCTGAAGTTGTTAGAAGACGGCCGCGTGTACGGACACGTGTGGACCACCAAACAAATTACGTACTGCCTCACTGAGTGCCGCGAGGAGCTCAGATACAACATCGAAGCGGTTGACTGTTTAGTCAGGAACCACCTGATCAACCTGCCACAGGTAAGAAGCTATATTTTGATCATTTTCAGGTCAAATTGTTTAGGGATACAGGTAGACCTCATGGTCTACATACAACATGACGTTACATTCATATGTAACGTCATGTTTCGTTATTTTAGCATTTCAAATTTTTTTTAAATTAAAAGACAATGCCGGAAATTGGCGTCTTTTTTTTTCGCGCGGCCATCGACCAAACCTTGGTTTTTGATTACAAAATAGTGTAATAAACCAAACTTACTATGACATGTATACCTCTAAACTCAGTCTGAAATGAGTTACGAGCATCAGAAGTTTGATGATTTTCATACTAGATTTGCTGTTTGCGCGCAAGTTTTGTAAGAAATTGCAACAAAATAATGACATTGTATGTGTAAANTTATCAAAAAATACTCTACACGTATTTTTCACTTTTTCAAACTAATGAAAATTTAAAGAGATAAAGCGCCCCAAAGTTCATAAGAAGAGGCCCGTGACGTCAACGCTTGCTTAAAAATGCCGCAAGTTGTGACGTCGTGCGCAACTTCAACGCACCATAACTATGTAATTATTTGTTAGATTGACAAATAAAAATATACGTGTCCAATATTTTTTGATATTAAACATTACGGACTAAAAAAATTTTTTTAGGCAACTAGCCTATTGAAGGAGTTGCAGTGATGTGAACGACAGCTGCAGAATATCCTATAACTGTAGATACAAGAAGCACCAACATGTAATTTGTACAGTGAACACAAAATCAGGGGATATTTTCTTGTACAGTACGACATCGCGATGGCCCACCTTATGGATAACGGGAACAACTACATGGCAGTCGCGTTCGGGATGCAACTGGTCCAGCTGTACCTGGTCGACGACCGGAACAACGTGTTTGCGAACGAATCCGACCTGTACCACATCACAGAGACGTTGTACAGGATCATGTCTCACTCGCGTCAGGCGCCCCCAGAGGGTCTCGGCGCCCTGATTGAGATGCTCAGGGTCCACCAAGACCCCAGCGCGTTTTTGGGCGAACGATCGCCTATGGGACCCACAGCTCACATTCATTCGGGAATCCTGCAAGTACGGGTGAGTTCATATACACTGTTGTGATTTGGTCAACACTTGTTGACAAGCTCACTATTGCCATAAAATCAGTGTGGTAATTGGACGTGTGATTATTTCACTGTCACTAACCATTTTCAACATTCAGTTGTACTTACTCCATTTGGTCTTAGCGTATGAGCTGCCATGCTCATGTTGGACTGTTTTAGTCGAATTAAGATTTTAAAACGAGTCGTCCTTTCACCCTAAAGATCAGCATTTGCAAGTGATTAGACTGCTACAAACTTGATGCAATCGCATACTCTGATTTAGTATCACTTAAAAGTTACTATCCGAAAACTTATACCTACCGAAACCGTTACTCTGTTTTGAGCAACTAGGGCTCTGACAACACTTACTGAAGCTTCTTGGGGCTCAGTGATTTCAGGTTTCAATTTGATCAAAAGTAAGTAAAAATAAATTCTTTATGTCTCACAGGCGCGCGATTACGACGACCCGCCTGGCCTCCAAGAGAAAACGGAGAATCTGCTTCGCGAGTGGCGTAACGTACTACTCAGCCCTCTCACTGAGATCGAGATTGCACAGAACTTCAACATCTACGTGCACCGTATGAATATGAACGGAATTCTCAAATCAGACGATATGATCACGCGCTTCTTCAGGATCGCTACACAAATGTGCATCGAGAATGTGTACACGATACTGACAGAGGAGCGCACGAATCCGCCGACCAGCCCGGTGAAACGCGACAAGTATTACACAATGTGCGACTCGTTCATGAAACTGGTGACTCTCCTCATCAAGAACACCTCTGAGAGCGGCAATCCTACGCCGAAGCTCAATTTACTGAACAAGGTAAGCTATTCGTCTGGTTCAGACCAGATCACCTCTAGAAACTAATGCTGTAGGCCCAAGATGCGCGCCGTGATAAGCGGTTCATCAACAGCCCTTTACAGTCCACTGCTGGACTATGAGCCTCCTCCACTAAAGTGGAGGGTTTTGCCATAATCTCCACGCTTGGCAGGTGGGTTGGAGATCGCAGTTTAAAAGATTGATATTTTTCAGAGAGCGCTGCTGCCCATTCTCTGTTTGATGTGTAGTCCCTAAGTCGCCTCTTACGACACCCGCGGGAAGAGTAGGGGTTGGTGACAAATGTATTCTACTCTGCCGTCACCACACGGTTTATACGTTACGGATAAGCGGTTATCACGCCGTTTTATCGATTTTGCCCATACATTTTGCCGTCGATAAAAGTTATCACGGCGCGCATCTTAGGCCTACTGAGCAGATCTTCCCTTGTCATAGTCATGCCACCTAGAAGTTTATAGTTTGAGTTACTTAATGGCTTATTTTATTCCTATGCTCTGCGACAACATTTTTAATGCTAATTGGTATTACTTATCAGTTATATTGTAGTCAATTTAAGTGTGCATATTTATATTTGTGACTATAACCAGGTTCTCTTATAAAGTGTAGTGTCATCAAGACACTTGATGCCTTTTCTCATACAAATGTGTTTGGCAACAGATCCTCGGAATCATCGCTGGCTGCTTGTTGCAAGACCACGAAGAACATGGCAACAACTTCCAGCAATTGCCTTACCACAGACTTCTCCTCATCCTGTTCCTTGATATGAATATGGCTGAACCAGTTCTCGAATCTATGAACTACCAGGTAAGGATTATTTTAGTTTATTTTTAATTTACAAATTAGTTCTCTTTGTTAAAAAAAAATGTAGTAAGTTCTTTTTAAAGGTGTTATTAGAACCAGTATTAACTGCCCAACCTGTATAGTTAAAATAAGCTACGTAATAGTTATAATTCCGAAATGAAATCTTCAGCAATCTTTCATGAATGTTGCTTTGTCTCGCCCTCAAGCTTCATGGCACAAATAATTCTAACCATAAAAGTTATAGTAATTTAAGTTGATTTTTGTTTAGCTCTAGTCTTACAATCATGGCCATAATGTAGCAAAATAACCATCAAGATGTTCCAAAACCTTTACGATTACGTACTTTAAGTTATCAATTAGGCTACAGACATCAAGGCAGACACTCTGGGACATTATCATGTTGTACTAAGGCTGGATTCGACCAAACAAGAGTAAATATTATCTCAGAATAAACTTGTCATCTTGAAATATTTCCCATACTGAAACTGTCAATGTGCCAGTTATACCAGGAGTTATTCTCGGATAAAAGTTGGTCGAATCGGGCCTTAGAGCTACATTACCCCAAAAATGTACAGCCTGACTGTCATATGAACATTTGCGCAGGTTCTAACAGCATTTTGCCATACACTGCGCATCATCCGACCGAGTGTCGCGCCCGGCTTCTGCTACGCCTGGCTGGAACTGACGGCCCACCGCGCCTTCATCAACCGGGTTCTGGCCGTGACGCCGCAGCAAAAGGTCTATCACAATATTTGTGTAACTATCTTTGCATATCTACATTTTACTGTAGAATGAACCCTCCCTCTGCTTCGGTCCGCAAGTAGATGTCGTATTGATCTATAGTCCGGTTGGTTTTAAGTACAGGTTTGTAAAACATCTTATCCAAGACAAATTCATTAAAATGATAACTAATTTCTGTGTGAAATAGACTCCTAGAGTGAATTGTTTCACAAACCTCGTAGTTGCCATTCATCATATCCATCTATTTTAATTAGCTCAGCAATCTGAACTTTAGATCAATGGATTAGTTTCACATTTTTTCGATTACAATACCAATGTGACTAAATTAAAGATACCATAGAGATACAAATTTAAATTTGTATTTTCTTGACATCTAATTGTAAAATGTAATCGAAGTATTCGGGGGAGACTGGTCATGGCCTATACGGTCTGGTTCGGAGAGTTACCAGTAAGGGTAAGTATATCATTTTCATACTCAAACAACCACGCCTTCGCGAAGATGGACAGCAATGGTACCCCTTCCAGTAAAGGTCTGTTTAGTTTCATTTTATTGTTGTTAATCTATAGAAACTAATGACCGTAATTGACGTATTAGAAAAGACAGAAATGCAGTCCTTATTAGCTAGCATTTCTTTGATTATAATTAGTGTATTCGATATGACTGATATATCTGTTTCTATATCACAAGAAGTGAAATTAATATCTTTAGTTACCCAAAATTCATTTTTCCTATCATAGTAATGATACATTTAAATTACTAAAATAACCGTTACAGGCCTCCGTATATTAACATCCGTTCGTTTACAGGGCTGGGGCATGTACTCTACGTTGCTCATCGACCTATTCAAATTCCTCGATCCGTTCCTACGGAACACGGAACTGGCGGGTCCCGTCATGATGCTGTACAAGGGAACCCTAAAGGTCCTCCTTGTACTGCTGCACGACTTCCCGGAGTTCCTGTGCGACTACCACTACGGTTTCTGCGACGAGATTCCGCCGAATTGCATTCAAATGAGGAACTTGATTCTGTCCGCGTTCCCAAGGAACATGCGGCTGCCCGATCCTTTCACTCCTAACCTGAAGGTGGACCTTTTGGCGGAGATCACGCTGCCGCCGCGTGCGGTCATCAACTACTCCACCATCATACCTTCGACGCAGTTCAAGAAGGATCTGGACGCGTACCTGAAGGCTCGGGCGCCGGTCACGTTCTTGTCAGAGCTGAGAAGCAATATGCAGGTAAGATCGAGTACTATGTCAAATTATTACAAACAAGCTTTCCGCCCGCGTGGAATTTTGTCTGTCACAGAAAAACTATCGCGCACATCCCTGTTTCAAAAACCGGGATAAAAACTATCCTATGTCCTTTCCCGGGACTCACTATCTCTATACCAAATTTCATCATTTCAATTTAAGCATGAAAGTGAGACAGACAGACAGAGTTACTTTCGCATTTATAATATTAGTATATATTGTCACTTAGTACGCAATAAAGATTTTGAATTTGAACTATGTTAGTTGTACCCTTCAATCTTTTGTAGAGATGCTAATCTTAACCAATGCGAAGCTGAAGAGGTAATTAATTTGCAATCTTTGTTACGCCCAATCTTGTGGGTCGACATCTTGTGTCGGCTTTAACATTGCGCCACAGAATAAGTAATAATACAGGTACAGAAGGATTACTCCGCAAGACGATTTAAATAAATGCGAGTCTTGCTGCGACGCGATACAGTGGAATTCAGCTCGCACAGCACTACGTACCTACAATTTTATTCACCTACAAGTTTTGTCTCTTTCTATCGCGTGCCTCTGAACTCTTCTTACGCTGTTAGGGTTGCTGTCTAGTGAAAAAAATAATTAATCTACTTACATACATACGTGTCATGAGGTACGTACCTCATGACACGTATGTATGTAAGTACGCATTCATTATGGAAAACCTTGGGAGAGGCCTTTGTCCAGCAGTGGACGTCATTTGGCTGAAACGAACGAACGCATTCTGAGCAGTAGTCATGGTAGGTTAGGTTCCTATACTATATCTACTAAGAATTATTGATTACCTACATGGCCAACATACCTTTCAGCATAATATTATTTGGGAAGCGAAAAAAAAAGATAAATCCGGTAGATTTCTTTTCGGATTTAAACACCCGAACGCCGCACAAACAATATTTCTTTCTCTTTATGTCCATTTTTAAATAATACTTCGATCATAGAATTAGGTACTACAACGCACGCCAGCGTCCTGACGGGCGCGCGCGAGACACTCGACTGATAATTATCGGATGTACCGCGCGGAGTGAGCCAGGCCTGATTGCGCTACATTTTTGTGTCGACATCTCAACCCTTATGATGGTGGGTCATATCTTTCGCTAGTGTCTGCTTTAACATCATGCAAAGCAAGGTCATGGCACATTATGTTTTAGAACCAGCAGTGAGGTTAACCTGAATTATAGGAGTGTGAAGTTTAATATCGACTAATCACTTCTGTTGTTTTAGCTCACATCGTCCCTCGCATGACTAACTATCCTATCTCAGTTTTGCCACTTTATCAAAACCACGGGTTTTCAGTTAGGCCATTTCAAATTTAGTTTCTGTTTATACTTTACGGACCTCGTGGGAGGAAAAATGGGTACATACAGATACGTGTGTTAGAGAAAATCGTAGACAATGGAAGCAGGAAAAAATTTGTAGTCCGTTAGGACAGTTATCAAATCGCCAAAAGACTGAGATAGGATAACCCACCACCACCAATGGTTGTTCCAGCCTCACGGCGTACGAACCGAATCTCGGGAGAGCGCGCGGGTAGTTGACTCTGGGCTCTTTTCCCCAGGCGCGGCGCTTTGCTTGACTCCCTACAAATTTATCTGATCCATGTCCATTGTCCAATAATAGTCAATTCTCCCCCTTCTGGGGCTTGACCAGTGTTGCCAACAGCTACCAAAGGCTCGTAGCAGAATTTAACAGAAAGTTGCTAGATTGAGTATTTTTTTCTCCCTAAAAAGTAGCTAGAAGTAGCTAAATTCCGAAGTAAATAAAATACTAAAGAAATAAAACACTGCAGTTAATAAATAAGCTATAAACTTTAACCAACTTAACTTTAATACTGTGACTACTTAATTAACAAATAAAAGAAGACAATATTTTGATAACCTACCGAATATTATAATTATCTAATTATGTACGAGAAGAAGATGTAGAAGGTTCAGCTGCACATGATTTGGATTTTTTTTTCCATAGTTCCCATTTTGTCAAGTAGGTACGAATTTAGGAAAAACGTAATTGTGACAGCACTGGCCGCTTTTCCTGAGCGAATCTTTTATGCATAAAATTGAATTCAGAGTTATTAAACTCATTCTATTCCTCTGTTTATTTTTTATTAAATTCATTTGGGAGAACAATCTTTCTACCTCAGCATTTGAATGCGGAAGTAAAAGACATGCTATAGCGAGTTCACTTATGTCTTCAAATACTTTGTAAAAATATATCATAATCAATAGTTGCTAGAAAAAGTAGCTAAAAAGTTTAGCTACAAATTAAAAAAAAATTGTAGCTGCCTGACATCAAAAAGTTGCTAAATCTAGCTATAAAGTAGCTAAGTTGGCAACACTGGGCTTGACACCACAAATACGGTACTTCGCGTTGGGCTGCTATCGTTGATAAATTTCATCACTTCTTCTCATAACTGTTAAATTTATCAACTGAGATAGGATAGTTGGTCATGCGAGGGACGACATAATACCATGTTTGCTATCGACACCTCACCTCTTATTATTCGCAGGTGTTGAACGAGCCCGGCCGCCGCTACAACAGCCAGCTAATGAACGCTGTGGTGGTGTACGTCGGAACGCAAGCGATCGCGCACATCCGCGCGAAGGGTCAGACGCCCAACATGTCGACCATCGCGCATTCCGCGCACATGGACATATTCCAAAATTTCACGGTCGACTTCGACTATGAGGGAAGGTGAGTTGGCTCTGATGGCTCAGTTCTTTACAGTTAAATGACGTCCACAGCTATAGTCTGGTCCGTGAGCACGTAGAATTTTGTCAATCAAAATCAAAATCAAAAAATATTTATTCAGTTTAGACCACAAGTGGCACTTATGAACGTCAATAGAAAATAATAAAAAAAGAAAAAGGTAGCCCTTATGGGGCACTTTACATGTCTCCTTATCTTTTGGGCCCTACCAGCGCTTCGAGACAAACATATGGCAAGTGCTGAGAAGAAACGCTGGAACAAACTCATTGACCCCTAGCTACCCATCCTTATCGCTCGCACGTAATTATATTGCTGTCGCGACTGTGCGACGGGCGCCCGCAGTGAGTGTGCGAGCGCGAAAGCAATATAATTACGCACGAGCGATAAGGATGGGTAGCTTGGGGGTCATTGGACAAAATTCTACGTGCTCACAGATCAGACTATAGACATAAAGGTTACTAAACCTTTTGTTTGTCACCTGTCATACATTTTCAACGGAGGGAAGTCGAATCTAAACTTCGAACTCCTCTTATTTTCTTCGGATTCATTTCGTTGCGGGTCCAATGACAGTTTAACTTTCCCCCGGGACAAACTTGACCTTCACTGGTAGGGTTTTTATTGGCGGTCAAGCTGTAGATCCTGGCTACACAGGAGTTGCAGTGGCGGGAAGGAGAGGTGGGAATAGTCCCATCCACAGCTAGACGCAGGCCTCTCTAAAGGACTTCCACAACGACTGGTTCTGCGCTGCCCGGATCCAGGTGTTTTCCGCGACTATCACCAGATTCGGTCCACCTAGTAAGAGGCCTAAAGTATAAAAACGTAATGGTAGACGTAATTTAAGCAAATCTCCACTCGGTAGACCGATGACCTAGTGAAGATCGCAGGGAAAGCACCAGACCTTACACACACAGATACTCTTGCTTGCAACGTAATCTGCGTTAGTGTTTTGTTGTTTTAGTGTTGTGTGTTTTGTTTTTCAGCGTATGAGATGTGTATTAAAGTAAAATTATTCGAGGCTTAGTATTTTCCACAATCTAGCTGAAACTCTTAGGCTGGGTTGCACCATCTTACTTTAACTTTGACAAACGTCAAAAATCTGTCAAACTCCATACAAAAAACACGGGTTATCGTCATGACTTACTTGACTTATGGTCCTATGTCCCCTAGATGGGGCAGAGGGCGTCCACAACAGTCCTCCATCGGTTATCGTCATAGTTACGGTCAAAGTCAGGTGGTGCAACTCAGCCTTAGTTTGTTTATAATAAAACCAGTATAACTTACAAAACAAACCTTAATCTCCGCAGATATCTATTCTTGAACGCGATCGCGAACCAGCTGCGCTACCCGAACAGCCACACGCACTATTTCTCCTGCTGCCTCCTGTACTTGTTCGCGGAGGCCAACTCGGAAGCGGTCCAGGAACAGATTACCAGGATGCTGCTTGAAAGGCTCATCGTCAACCGGCCCCACCCCTGGGGACTTCTCATCACATTCATCGAACTCATCAAGAACCCAATCTACAAGTTCTGGACTCATGAGTTCGTACACTGCGCCCCCGAGATCGAAAAGTAAGTTTTTTTTAACATCATATTGTCATTGTACATCATTTGTGTATAAAATTAGTATAATCTGTCTTATTCAGGCTTGCCTTAGTTAGGTCTACGAGTGTCACTAATCTTAGCTAAATACCGTCGATTCTAAATCTGTTTTAGTGTTGTAGATCATGTTTTCCAATGATAGTAGCAAACTATATTCATAGAATTAGATTATGAATCCACAATTCACTATACCTACTACACTGTATATTTTTTACACATTTTAATTTGATAGGCAAGTGTGATTATTACTTGACCTTTTTCACATCCATCACTGAGATCAATCTTCATTTTGTTGATTTGTGAAATTTTCAGTGAAATAAAAGTAATTATGATGGAAGTGTTCCATTTCATAAAATATGGGTATGGATAGAATAAAAGGAAAGGTTTTAAAATTCTGATTGTAGAATATTTATTTTTAGACAGGTTATTATCAGTTATAATTATTTTTAAATATTGCCACGCAATGCATGGCTTGCCTTGTGAAACTATGTAAAAATACGGTGGGGTCAAACAGGGAATTCATTTTCATAAACGGGCACTAACCGTTAACGTAACCTAACCTAACCGTTTCACTATCTCTCTGTATATATCTGAGCAGATATTTGCAAGGTAACATTTAGCTGCTTATGTTAGCATAAATGTTAAATTAGTATAATCACAGCAGCTCAAATGGCTTACTTATAAAGCACCGCACAGCTATACTTCATGCCGAAAAGACAATACAACAATCTTATTAGTTTTGTTTGCACAATTTATCGAAGTAGGATTTCCAATTTTTATTACGAGCGTAATTCTCAATTGCTACATTATAATAATTTGTATATTCAGAAGAATGTCTCTAAATGCTTTTTGATGACTTATTTTTTAAACAGGCAACTCATTACAGATTACATTTACATAAACTAGTATGTTATTGAGTATTACAACCTGGTAGATGAGAGTAATTAGTAATTTGCCAATACGTACATATTTTGTTGTACATAATTAGGTCCCAATCACAAAAGCGTTGTCAGGTGTTCTCGATTCTAATCGCGTGACGAGTGCGTAAGTTGCGATGACATAAATGTAACGATTACAAGCTGCAAACGTATCTGTCAAACGGTTTAAAACTCTCGATACTAGTCAAACGCTCTTATGATTCGGGAACTAAACCTTATCACGAGGGGCAAAAGACAGATTGTGGGTTATACACTAGAGATACTAAAGAACATCTTTTTTTCTTCCATTTATTCTACCTCATCCAGGAAGATGGAGACGCTGTATGTACACGTCCAAATTAATTACCTATCTGTTTCTAATTTCCAAAGGGCCTGCGCGCACGAGCGATTAAACGCATAATTCTTGAGCCCAAGTCATTTTAAGGAAAGCCTATTTTAGAACAACTAATTCTCAACTTATCACAATATTCTGAACAATCGATGTAATTTATTATTACGATAACAAAAGAAACTCTCTTGACAACAGGCCCTTGACTTCAAATTAAATGTCAAGACGAAGCCTTAAAACCATTGTTTGAGTCAGGTTAAATGAACTGCTTTGTGATTTAAAATTTGTAGAAAGGCATGCTTGTACTTTGAAATAGAGTAGCATAAATTGATTCCCAAGTGTGCACTGAAATAATATTTTATAATGTTTTCCTATCAGTGCGCACTATTACACTAATCTAGTTCTAAAATGGAATGATCAGACAAGCTTTTCGAATCGCAGCCGTCTTGCGACGGCTCAGACGCTCGTGTGTACAGGACCCTATCCCTCGCATGTGAGAACTATAGCGAAACTTACCTCGTTATCTCTGAACAGATTAAAGTGTTGTAAAGGGTATAGTTACGTTTGCAAGGTTAGTACGCATCCAACGAATGTCCGTGTAACTAGACGATGGAAGTTCCATGACTACAGAATTATAAATATGACAGCCGGCAACTGACGAAGGCGTAGTCTTTGTCATTATTTGCATAACGACAACATACTTATTTTTAGAGCGAAGCGATTGCCAACAATCAGTGTTTTGTCAAGAGCCGGGCTGCGTGTAAAAATATAATATTAAATTATGCTTACGGACCACAGACTTTAATCTGGCGACTGGTAAGGTCACGAAAAGTGCCTAGTCAGTCAGCATATAAATTGTATGTTAAATGTAACTGACCGAAATTGATCCGAAATATATTAGTTCACATTTAAAACTTATCACCACCTTCATCTGTCAAAAAATATTGCGCATCTTAGCGGTTGATTGCTGCGTCAAATCAGATGTCGACTGCTGTAAACATGACGTCATTTCGTACACAATCCGCGCAGCTTATGAATGGATTGAACACAGCAACTTCTAATGTCAGCTCTTACTTTCAACGTATCGAGAGAGCAAGACCTGAACACTGAACACAGTCGTTGCTATTTATCATACCATTCTTCATAAGCACGGATTGTTGTACGATTATTTGACCCATTTAAACGTTAGGAATAAATGTCGTTCGTAAAGCAACCCTAATTTTGAGCTTATGTCTTCCCTGTCACCCCGAAAATTACTTTTGGTGTCACCTCACATTCTGTAAGCCATTCGGCATGTCTCCGTGTTAATTTGATGTTACCACACTGGTGCTTTACGTTTTCATTTGATAAAAAGCCATAGTAGTACAACGTAAAGTTCAATTTGTGATTTCTAAAGCCAGTGTCTTAGGATTGAGCAAAGCATCAGTGTTTTATGTTGTGAAGATTAGCCAGACTGACACAGAACGAAGTATCAAATTACAAAAAAAGGCGGACAGAGCTGACAAATTGGAAATTAGGGCCTAAAATTGCTTTTATAAAGGTGAGTATAGACCAGACCATTTCTATGTAATGTAAAGTTCGTAAAAATAGTACAATACAGGTAAAATATACGCCGCGACGTTTGGTTCGTGAAGGGGGATACACTAGAACATATCATAGAGCGGCTCGTTGTTCTGTTACAAGTAAATGCTCTAGTCACTAGTCTATACTCACCTCAAGGTGTATCATGATACCGCAACGTTCAACTCAGTCTGGCTAAGATATAACTACCGTTGGAACCGAGCGACCTTGCAAACGCTACCACACCCATCTATGTCTGTCTTTGATTCCTGATTAGGTTTTTATCAATCTGCCTGATGTCTTCTTGTTTTGTTTGTAACTGGTACGAAATGTGATTTCATTCCAAAATTATATAAATTATCTATTCGGGTCTTTTCAAAGCGAGAGTGAATAGGCACTTACAAGGCAGATATATACCATCCTAGACTGCATCTTGATTAACACCAGGTGCAATTGCGGTCAAAAATCAAGGCTGGTTGTCAAGTGTGCCATCGCTGCTATAACAAACTATAAAATAACTCCAGCCTAATGCATTTACACCACTGCTTTACCATTGTTCATTTTGATCAAAAGCGCATATAACATGTATGTTATGCCCATACCAGACAAAAAAGAATTGTATCTATTTCCTTAGAGGCTGTCTGACTGGTCCACAACCAGAAGAAAAGATGAGGTGAAGCAAACCGCTACTTCGTGTAACTGAAATAATTGGGTATTTGACACCATTCGCCAATAATTCTAAACCACAACTTTTTAAAAAAGACACTTGTTTCTGATCTTAAAAACTTAATTAATTTTTAATTACCTGTAAATTACGATTTTTGGTTGAATTATAATTATTGAAAAAAGTAGTTTCATTGAGTTGATAAAATTGTGACGTCACATGCTAGTATTGCCGTACAAAGTCTATGGGAGAGTGTCGTTTTGACAGTTTTAAAAAGTACGTCAATTGATTGGTGGTGTCAAATACCCTATTCAGTGTAATATTACTGATATACCTGCAGTCCTGCATACAATTATAAAGTACTTCTCGCCTGTATTTCAACTGGAATGAGGTCTCATTCGTCCGAAAGCGTCGTCTAGATAGATTGATGATGCCAACAGGAGTCGCCCTCACAGCACGGCAGCTAACGTGTTAACTGTTTTCAGGCTGTTCGCGTCGGTAGCGCGCTCCTGCATCGTTGAGAAGTCCGCGTCGGGAGGGGGAGAAAGAGATATATCCGAGTAGCGTCTTGCCAATTGGGAGCTTCTTCGACAAAAGCACCATGTATTTTATAGCATTGTCGAAAAAGGTCTGTTCGTAACATACTATTCTCTCCCATAGCTTAGCGATCAGGTGGTGGGAACTACGATGTTTCGCGTGTTAGTTGTTTGTCCTCTTTCTTTTAAAGTGCCTTCCACCTTTCATCCTATATCCTACTAATCTATCCATATTTAAGCCGCCTTTAATTTTGGTTTTTTATAGGTATCCTTCTTTATTTTTCACACCTTTTTTGGAACAATACAGTCCATGTCATTTTTGTTCTTTGATATGCGATTTAGAATACTATCTTTGATGTAGTGAATGTGTGCAAATAGTTGGCACATTGCTACAAGTAAAGATTAAAATAGTACATTGCAATCTTATTGCCTATGCTTGTTGGAAAAAAAGTAAATGGAATATCAGAAGTTGTTAATCACATGATCATGCCATTTCGCATTTTGGTTTTTCCATTTTTGCCTCTGCTTCTGCTCTAACAATTTTGGTGCTATGGTTCTTGTGTAAAGTCGAACATATTGCGCCAAAAACTAACTTTTCACTCTTCATGCTTTCAACTTATGCCTAGCGGAAAACTAACTTAAGTATATTTGTATATACTTAAGTTAGACAAGGTTGTCCTTGTCTTGTGAAATTGTAATGTACAATTCTTGTTTCCTTTTTGTTGTACATTTTCACATCGCGTTTCATATTAGCTGCGCGTAAGATGACACGGACTGTATACTTAACTAAAAACCGTTTATTAACAATTTGTTTCCCCGCAGGCTTCCAATACCACGCGCAAATCTGCATTTGCGCCAACGAGCCGGAGTCGGAGCCCGAACCCCAGCCTTCCACGTCGGGGCTGCCCAAGCCTCTGAACTGGAAGAAGCTGTTCGCAAACAAGTCGTAAAGTGGTTCCCTCTAGGCACGGTGCCGCGCGCCGACCGCGCGGACACTTTACCTCTACCTTACAGTGACAAGACTAGTGAAACTTACGACGTAAACCCCTCGCATATGTGACGCCTCCACGCACCAAGATAACGACTTTCCGCTGTGACGTAACGAGGCGTCGCGTGTACGACGACCACAACTGAATAACTTATAGTGATATACGTACTCTTGCGCACCTATATTGATCGTGTTTAATCATATTTATAAATCGATGTAGTCTGTCCGAGTAAGATGGCCGCGTACGGCAGCGACAATGCGATCTGAATTATGTTGAATCACTACGTGTACTTTTTAGCTCTGCAACCTTGCGATTGATGATTGCTCGGTGCCGGTCGCGGGTCAGATAAGCTGCATTTTAATTTGACCCCCGGCCGGTGTCGTTAGTATTTTAACCATATGGTATTACACTAAGTGATAGACGCACAGCGGGGCCATAATGCATTTGCGATGAATGATCGTAAGCCTTGTATAATATCCGTATGCGTTTCGAGACGCGTTCCTTGACGCGGTCGGTCGCTTTGGTGTTGACCAGAGCGATCGACCAAGCCGCCGGCACTCGTACCTGCTGCGCAAACGTTATGTTTATGATTCCTAACTTCCTATTAAGTTTAATAATGAATACGAGGTAATAACAACGTTAAGTTTTTGCGAGTTTGAGGTCCTCCGCTACACAGCGGATGCCCTGATTTGAATGTTGCAAGGAGTCGTGTTTGTGTGCGGCAGGTATTCCGATTCTTAAGGCAGCAGTAACTTGTATTAATCTCTGCCGTTACTAGTTTAAGCATTCTTAATTGAAATTCATTAAGGTAAAATTATATAAATCTTTTCACTTGACAATAATATAACATCTCAGACATTGGTATGCTCAAATTTATTGTAATGGAACTGTCGGATCGGCATTCGAGGTTTGTTCGTAAGATTTTGAAAGACATTGACATGGTGCTTGTGAGTGTAATTTATTAATTGTGAATGGGCTGGGTGCCAGCATACGGCCCCGCGCGTCTCCGTTCGACTGACTACCCGCGGCATCTATAGCGTATGGGGCTAGGTTCAAGTCTACTACTGTAACTAAATGTCTCTAGTGTTTATAAAACTCGTTTACGTGGACTCTGGTAAAGCCACTAGTTGTTAATGTTTAGTAATTTGTAATATTATTAGTAACTATGTTTGGAATAATAATCTAATATTAAGTTTTGAAATGCAATGCATATTGCTGTGTAGTTTTCTAGATGTGATTTTTCGAATGTAATTTAGGAAGGTTTAGTGTTAATCTCTATGCTATAAAAGTTTGTCATTAAGCCATGTAATCCCATTTTCTAAACAATTGTGTTGTAATAAAAATATTTTTCCATCAATTTGTTGTTTTTGTCATTACTTTTCGTTTACTCACACCTTAACTCCATTGACACATTGTCTGTTCCATAGTAAAATCGGGCCCTCGCCCAAACTCACACGCTAACCTACATGTTAAGGCTTTTTCATAGAACATGAGTCATTTTCAGTAAACTAGGTACTAAAATTCCAGAAAATTCCAGAGCACAATAAAGCATCGAGTAAAACCTTTAATAAATAATTGGTTAAATTATGTTTATTTCTAATAAATTAGTAAGTTATAGCCTGACCAGGAACATAAAAACCCTGGCATAGAGGCGCTTCAATTGCATTTGATAGTGCAACACTGGGTACAGTCGTACCTGTATTAAATTAATAGGCTAACTTTATGTATCAGGATTCAGGATTATAGGCTAATTTAATATTTTTATAAATTAACAAAAACATATTATATTATAGGTAAACTGGTTTAAATAAATTAAATGAAACCATCAATCGAGCAAGTAGGATTTTATTATTATTCATCAATAATCAAATTCTGAACTTGAATATTCAACTACAATGTCTGCTCATGAACGCTTCAAACTCGGTACTTCTTTCCCAATTCCATAAAATTCAATACTTACAAAGTGACAAAAAACTTTAAAATAGGTAGTTGAAACAAACCACAGCTAATTTTCATAGTTGACTGTACTATACGATAAACATGTCAGTCAATTTGACAACCTTTGTCGGAAACATTATTCAATGAAAATATTGTCCGAACCCATAGTATTTCTCTTCGACAAATACTTTAACACATTGTGAACCACTTTTCTTTCACGACTATAAAAAGATTTTAGCAATTTAATTCACAAAATCAATTGCGCACATTTAAAATAAAGTTTGTTTACACTTTGACAGCAATAGACTGACATGCAAGGTGACATGTCAATAAAGTTTTCAGTTACTGTTGCCATTAAAAGAAATTAGTACCATTAATTTTCCGCAACATGGCGAGGGTTTTTATGTTCCTGGTCAGGCTATAACTGCCATTTTATTTTGTACGAAGAAAAAACGTGCGATTATAAAAAAATGGATATTATGTCATGTCTTAAAAACAATTGACAATCTTTGTGTCGTTATTACCTACTTTCATAACTGGTCCATCCCAAGGTTTTTTCTAATGTGTTCTTTAATTATTCAGATAGTAGGTATAATCAAATTACAAATTATTTCAATATTTTCTTGTTTGTGTTAGGGCGAAATTTTCACGTCACGATGGGATTAGCAAAACAATGGCTGCTGCTCGCTGAGTTTGTCGTAGAAAGTGACATCTAGCGGAAATCGCTGAAAACATCTGGAAAAATTAAGTTGAAATGAGGAGATCAGTAAAAGAACTAAAGTCACTGACATAGCGCGACGGATTAGCAAGCTGAAGTGGCAAGGGGCAGGGCACATATAGTACGCAGCCTACCCAGCCTGTTGGTAAATCCGCCACTGGCTGAAGAGGATGAGGCGAAATGGAAATGAGATAAAGTAAAAATGATATAAGTAGGTAGGTAACTAACTACTAGGCCAGTAGAATTAAACACAAAAATGAATTAAATCGGAAATAATTCCTACTAAAGATTTTAGTGCTTTAATGGCTTCATTAGTTGCCCATAAAGACTCTCCTAGGTTTTCGACTTCGACGGAGTTGTGCTTAAGTGGTGGGGCCCCCCGAACGAAAGGGGCGATTTTCGGTTTTCCGTTTATACCGCGTAAAGGACTTACTCTATCGAAAAGTGGTCTTCCTGACGGTTGAAGGGCATTTAATCCTGCATTAAATAAGACCAAATTCATATGTTTTGGACAAACCGTTCTCGTGCAAATGTTCGGCAAAGTAGAAAATATGTGTATAATTAATGACCCTCTCCACGTCCAATGGCTCGTTACCCACAGGCTTGCAAGTCTTGAAAAGGAGCGCCTCAACCAGTGTAACCCTATCAAGGCTTACGAGCTTGATGCGCCTATCCTTGTTCGTCCCAGCCGTTCCTTAACTGCGGTGCGTCTTTCCGTTCTATACATAGCCAGAACGCAAGGGTGTGAAACTAATCGAGTATAGTTTGGAGATGACTTTTTTTACTAAGCTCCTCCAAACTATACACGACCAGTACCTACCTACGCATATGCTGCGTACTGCTCGCGTATACTTTGTAGTGACTTAGGTCAATTATCTTACTCCAAAATATACATCGCCAGTACGCATACGGACTAATCATGTATGTATTGTAATAAGTGCGTGATTACAATTTACATATACGCGAGTAGTTGCATACTAGTCATTTTGTTTTTGTCATATTGACCTCTCTTTCTATCACATATTAATAATTCATATCTGCGTGTCTACTTTAAACATTGAATCATCTTTCGACACGTATTCTGCCATAGAAAAATTATTTGATATTTAATTTTCACCAATTCTCGAATAACTCTTAAATTAAGAATTATGTAGGTATGGAAATATGTCAAAATGATTTTGTTCTTGAGATAAAAGTTAATAAATAAAATAAATAATAAATAAATATCCTTAGACATTTTACACTGCGCTTCTAGTCCCAAACTAAGCAAAGCTTGTACATAATACTAAGTATTAAACATACATACTTAAATACTTTTTTTTTGTAAATACATACTTAGAAAACACCCAGTCCAATACAAACAAATATGTTCATTCACACAAATGTTTGTACTGTGCGGGAATCGAACCCGCTACCTCCGGAATAGTAGTCCGTTTCGAACCACTACACCAAACGGCCGATAATACAAACCTAGCATTTAAAGTCTCGCATAATGTATTAATAATGCACGTTGAACTTTCTTCTCTCACTCTCTCTCATTTTAAATGAATTTATAATACACTAATAATTGATAATTAATTTGAAATGTACCTAATCAATTTAATTTCAAAAACCACTTACAATAGTGTTAAAAATCTAGATTTATTATAGATTCAGTAAAATAATAATATTTTAAGTAATAATATCGAATAAATGTAATTTTAAATATAATTCCATATTTATGTCAAAATGATTTTGTTCTTGAGATAAAAGTTAATAAATAAAATAAATAATAAATAAATATCCTTAGACATTTTACACTGCGCTTCTAGTCCCAAACTAAGCAAAGCTTGTACATAATACTAAGTATTAAACATACATACTTAAATACTTTTTTTTTGTAAATACATACTTAGAAAACACCCAGTCCAATACAAACAAATATGTTCATTCACACAAATGTTTGTACTGTGCGGGAATCGAACCCGCTACCTCCGGAATAGTAGTCCGTTTCGAACCACTACACCAAACGGCCGATAATACAAACCTAGCATTTAAAGTCTCGCATAATGTATTAATAATGCACGTTGAACTTTCTTCTCTCACTCTCTCTCATTTTAAATGAATTTATAATACACTAATAATTGATAATTAATTTGAAATGTACCTAATCAATTTAATTTCAAAAACCACTTACAATAGTGTTAAAAATCTAGATTTATTATAGATTCAGTAAAATAATAATATTTTAAGTAATAATATCGAATAAATGTAATTTTAAATATAATTCCATATTTTACTAAATCAATATCAACTAAACACACTCTAGTCAAGTGTAAGTGGTGTAGTAGAAACTAAACGAGTATAGTTTGGATATGACTTTTTTTACTTAGCTCTTCCAAACTATACACGATCAGTACGCAAAATTCGTGTATAGTTTGGAGTCACAGATTTACAAACGGGCACTACAAAATATACACGAGCAGTTTCCTATGGGTGCGTTCTGGCCATGTATAGAACGGAAAGACGCAACTGCGGTTGCTGCACCTCTTCCTGGCACTCACCTGAACGACTCTGTGTTACCTACTGTGGCTGCCCCTCTTTCTTGTATCCTCCTGCACGACTACGTTGCTTAGCCGTATGCCTGGTCTAAGGTTCAACGCCAAAAATTAACAACAACAAGATTGATCAAGCAATTTATTTTTTAAGTAGGTATTATAATATTTTATTGTGTACGTGCTTGCTTCCATTCAATAAAGTTCCTAACCTTGGACCTATTTCGGAATCTAATCAAAATAAACTGCCTATTCCCGACGGCCTGATCTGACCTACAGACAGAATGTAGGTACATAGGCTTATCTATTGCTGCTTTTACACTGCGCGGAAATTAGCCAAGTCAAAAAACCAGTGGGGTGGGGATGAAAAATGAATGAATTTCATCCCCACTTCTCTATTTTTTTGACTTGACTCGGCTAATTTCCGCATAGTGTAAATCCGCCATATAACATCGCACGCATTGCAATATTTCCTCGTGCCGCTAGGTTCAGAATCCCAAAACTGGCCCAGATGCAAAAAAGGTCCGACGCGCGGGAGGGCGGGGGCGGTCGCGGGTCCGTTCGCGCGCCGCGGCGCCACAGTCGCGCGCGACGCCTCCGAAATTCCGTTACTCGGACAAGACGTGCGCCGACGCCTGTCACAACAACACCCACCGCGCGGGCAACCTGATTCAACCACGATTTCTACTCAAAGCGGTGATATTCTGAGGAATCCAAGGAGGCAGCGACAGGTGAGTGAATACTTAATTTATATTTTGTATCTTGTAAACAATACATTGACGTCTCGCACGAGGATTTGACACTGACAGTTGCCGGTGTTTTGTTTACGTTTTTGTTGATAACGTGATAGCAGTTGCGAATTGATGATTATTGTTGGAATAAACTGGATTGTTGAAGATTACTGTGTGGAATATTCGGAGTCGTGTCGCGATTGTCCGGCGCGGTGTGTGTTTATGTCGGGGTGCGCGTGAGTTTGCGGCTTGGGCTGGCGTGTGAATAGGGTTGAAAGTTGTGTGCGCGCGTATAGCCTTGAGCGAAAGGGACGCAGACGCTGCGCGCCGCGCCGCCGCGCCGCCTTCCCAGGTAGGTTTCATCGTCGCACTATAGACTGCATTAGTACAGAGAGGACTTTCTTACCACAAAGTACTCAATTGATTGGTTATTTGG